AAGTTTCTTTTTAGATTTTTCTTTATTATGGTTTTATTATTTTAAGCCATTTTAAAATGTAAATATATTTTGATCTTATTCTCTGCTGCTGCCGAGTCCTTTCAGGTCCTCTCCCCCTTCTCCCTACCCACCCAACATTAAGTTCTTTCTCAAATAATAAATAAAAACTCAATACAACTACAAACTCCCCCAAACCAAGAAAGCAAAATAAAACAACACCCTTCCCCATAAAACTCAAAACAACAAACTGTAATCAAATAAAAGCACACACATGCACACAAAACTGTGGAGTCCATTATATATTGGTCAGCTATGCCTGAACAAGAGGTCTGACCTGGAGAGGTAGATGCACACCCACTGTCACTTTATTGGAGAAAACCATTTTTCCCTCTCCCAGGCTGTATGAGTTATAGTTCAGTTGTTAACCTTTACCCCAGTGGCTAGATTTACACTTATGTATTCATTCACTTAAAAAATACAACAAAAATAAAATATGGTAAGGTAAAACAAAAATTACCACATGGAACATGGACAAGACAAACCAACAGAAGAAAAAGAAACAAGAGAAGACAGAAGACTCAGAGACCCACTTGTTCACACATTCAGGAATCCCATAGAAACGCTCAACTGGAAGCCATAATACAGGCACAGGGTCTGGTGCAGACCTGTGCAGGCCCTGTGCATGCTGCTTCAGTCTCTGTGAGTTCCTTGGAACTTTGCTCATGTTGATTTAGAGGGCCTTGCTTTCTTGGTGTCCTCCATCCCCTCTGGCTCTTACCCTTTCTGCCTCCTCTTCTACAGTTGCCTGAGTTCTGAGGGGAGGGATCTGATGCAGACATCCCATGTAAGCGTGAATGTTCCAAGGTCTCTCAGTCTCTACATAATGTCTGGCTGTGGGTCCCTGTATTTGTTCCCACCTGCTGCAGGAGGAAACTTCTCTGGTGATGACTGAGAAAGGCACTGATCTATGAATACAGCAGGCTATAACCAGGAGTCATTTTATTACTATATCTGTTTCTTTCTTTCTTTTTTATTGACTATTTTCTTTATTTACTTTTTTTTTAGATCAATATTATTTGGTTTTACCCTAGGTCCTTGGGCTATCTAGTCTCAGGTGTTTGGTCACCCAAGCAGTATCAAATATGGGTTCCATCTTGTGGAGTGGGTCATCAGCCAAATCAGTATTGGTGGGTTACTCCCATAAGCTTCATGCCGCCACTGCACCAGCATGTCTTACAGGCATTACATTCCTGTAGATAAAGAGTTTGTGGTTGGCTTGGTGTTTACCTTTCTCTCCTGATAGAGTACAGAATGTTTTCATGTATTCATGATTCTGGAAAGTAGGGGTGAAGGCTCTATGTAGGCTCCAGCTCTGCATCGACATGTTGGATGAATTGTGTAAGTGTTGTCTTCAGCATTGGAGCCTTTCAGCTGCCTTTCTAATACTGCCTAAGCCTACCTGGTTAGGAGGAGTACACACACACATACAGACACACTCACACGCTGAGAGAGAGAGATTATAGAATAGTTAGTTTCCCTTTAAGAATCTACATTTTTGTCTATTTTATACTTATTTTATGTTTGTGGTTTGAATGTTTGCATGTATGTGTGTGTCTGGTTCCTGTGAAGGTCAGAAAAGAGTGTCAGATCCCTAAAAATGGAGTTATAAATGGTTGTGAGCCAACATGTGGGTGCTGAGAACCAAATCTGAATCCTGTGGAATAGCAACAAGTGCTCTTAACTGCTGAATCATCTTTCCAGACCTAAGCCTATTTTTCCTGCAGTTTTTATAATGTATTTTTTTTGCAAACTAATGTAAATAGCAAATGAATCCCATTGTTAAGACAAAAAACAAACAAAACAAAAAACCAAAACCTAAAATAACAACGTATCTGACAAAGTAATAAACTATACTGATTTTATTGCAAGGTTTGTTGTTGTTACTTTTTTTGTTCCCCAACATACTATTTTTATTATTTGGGAATTTCATTCAATGAACTGTGGTTACACTTGCTTCCCATTTCTCCCAGGCTCATCCTCCCACTTGTGCCCCTTCTCCCCAGACCCCACCAAGTCCAATTTGTGTTACCCATATATACTCATTGGAGCATGGTCAAACTCCCAGTGGTCAGCCCCCTTTAAAGATAATTGAGCCGCCTCCCCCAGCCCCACCAGAAACCATCAGCTGTGAAGCTATACTTCAGCATCATTATTTAAAAATTAAGGACTTTCTTCAATAATTTCGTGTCTGGATTGTTTTTTTGTTTGTTTGTATGTTTGTTTGTTTGTTTGTTTTGTGGTGGGCAGGGGCGTTGCACAGAATCTCTCAATGTCTCTTTCTCAGCTATGAGTCTGTAGTCATTGCTATCACTGCAAAAGAAGGTTCTCTGCTTGGAGCAGCTGGCAGTAGCTTATGGACTGGAACATGATTTCCAGAGGCAGCAGGGATTATGGAAGTCTTTTGAGGAGATTGAACCCAGAGAAGGAACCAGTTTTCATCTCTGATATTTTGTTGCTCAGACTCAGGACACTAGTGTGGTTGGGCAGGGTGTCTGGGGGCAGGACCTGTGATGGCATCAGCAGCTCCACACCACAGGCTGCAGACCAAGTGGCCACTGAATCTTTAGTTCTGTTTCTCTCTACCAATGAAGCCTGCTCTAGTCTGCCATCTTTTTTTTTTCTTATTTGAGGATATATTTGAAATCAATGGCGTTACTGAAAATATGAATATAGGCGAAATCTAAAGTAGTTATGATACAATGGGCAAAAAATCTAAATACTAAAATTCAGGTTTATGGCAATTTTATGAAAAGTAGCAATCATGGAAAAGCATAGATTGGGTTTGCAACCTAAGAATTTGCATCTGTAAAAATAGTTTAAAAAAATTTTTTTTATATTCCCAGAGCTCTTATAAAATAATCCAGGCTTGATGGTGCACATCTGCAATCACAGTTCTGGGGAGGCAAGGACAGGATAATCCCTGAGTTTGCTGAATAGGTGTTCTAGCAAAACAAGTGAGTTCTAGGCTCAGGAGAGACTTCGTCTCAAAAAAAAAAAAAGAAGATGGAAAGCAATGGCAGAAGACACCAAACATTAACTTCTACTGTCTACACACACACACACACACACACACACACACACACACACACACAGGGAGAGAGAGAGAGAGAGAGAGAGAGAGAGAGAGAGAGAGAGAGAGAGAGAGAATGAGAGAGAGAGAACATGACCACACTATCTTACCTAGAAGGGCAGGGAGCACTGGAGAGGCTGAGTGTATGAGTCTATGTCTTCTCTGTCATGCTATAGTCTTATGAGGATGTGACAAAGCCACCACTGTGGTGTGTTTGTATGTGTGTGTGTGTGTGTGTGTGTGTCTGTGTGTCTGTGTGTCTGTGTGTGTGGCACTGGAGCATCTTGGAAGAAGTCTTTTATCCTCTGGAGTATTGACTCAGGAGAGAACCTGTAGAATAATGGACTTGGTCCAGCCGAATTGCCTCACCTTCCTGAGACCTTCTGCCCTCACCAACTCCACCATCTCTCCTCCCTCTGCATGCCTTCATGACCAAGGTATTCATCCAAAGCCAGCTGAGACTGTCCCTGTGCAAATACAACCCGAGTGGAAGGGAAGAAACTTGGTAGAACACAAAGACCAAAAATTCCCTTTGTCAGGATGTGGTGGAGCTCTACCCCATGATTTCACACATTTGTACACTAGTGATCACGTCTCACATAGTGCACCAGCTTTCCAGTGTGAACAGGGGGTTTCCTCGGTCACATGTTCCTTGTAAGAACCCAGTGAAGAGGAGTGGGTGATCAGGAGGTGATGGGTCAGTACAGAAGGTAGGTAGGGATCTATAAAGGCTGTCTGGTATTTCAGAGCTCCCTGAGCATTTCAGTGTTCACCTATGGCAGAGAATGATACTCCAGTACGTCTTTTTAAATGAGTTTTTTTTACACCCCTCCTTCCTTCATAAGAAATCTACATTCAGGGATGGAAAGGTGCCTCAGTGGTTAAGAGCATGTTGCTCTTGCAGGGGACCCAGGTTAGATTACCAGCACCTATAGGTGGCCCACAACCATCTGTATCTCCAGTTCCAGAGGATCAGTAAGAATCATCCAAATATTACAACTCTGAAAGGGTATATTCAGTGAGGCGGTCATCTAAGGATAGTGGCATATATCCAAGATCAGGTTAATAAATTTTTATGGCAAGCTATTTCTTAACATCTAGTACCTGATTTTTTGTGAAACTTCAAAGTATAAATTTAAACTATTTTAATTCTTTTTTATTTAAGGCTTTCTTTACCACATACCAAAGTCCACTTATGATGACACACGTGCAGTCATATGAAATTTTATTGTTGGGAAGGTTTTTGTTTATCATAATACTAACTATTATGTAATTTTGTAAATGATTAATGAAGTACAGTGCTGGGTTTTCCAGGAGATAAGGTCTTGGCTAGTGACCCCATCTCAAGGGATTTTTTTTCCCATTTTTCTCTCTTAAGATCTTAGCTTAGGCTATCAGGAACATTTCACAAATAAGAAAAGGAAAAAAAATAAAACAGATAAATTTCCATGAGAAATATGGCTCAATATTTTGTTCAGGGCAAGAGTTCTACAACCGGTTCCAGGAGGCTTCCTTCTTTTGAAGTTTTTGCCTCAGTCTGTGGAACTTGTCACACAGATTCTACTGGAGTTGGTGTGGCACTGCTCCCTGTTCTCTGTTCCGAGTAACCAAGGTGGGATGTTCATGGCCTGGTTTCTATTAGGTCTGGTTTCTATGAAGCTACATTTTGATGGAAGTTAGTCATACTCTATCCTCTGTTGCCTATGAGCTTTGAGGCAGCTATCTCCACCCTATGGCATTTGGCCCAGTTTGAGCTGCTACTGGCTGTTGGGTGTGGGAAGGGGGTGGGAACTGGCACAGTGCCTGTATCCAGAGTATAAGGCAGCCCCGGGCAGCTGGAGGCAGCTGGAGGCAGCTGGAGCCTGGGTCTTGCAAACTCAGCCATGGTGCTCAGCTTCCTCTCCCCGAGCCTTTCCCGCCTCAGCCTGTGGGCTTCTGTTGTGATCCTGATGGTAATCGTCCTCAAGCTCCTCAGCCTTCTGTTTCGGAGGCAGAAGCTGGCCAGGGCTTTGGACAGCTTTCCAGGGCCCCCCAAGCACTGGCTTTTTGGTCATGCCCTTGAGGTATGTGGGGATATGGGGGGAGTTGGGTCTAATCCCCTGGAGGCTGGGAAGGGAGGCAATCAGTTTGGACAAGGGGGGTGAGGCCTGGAACCATGACTTCAAGTCAGCTATCCCTCCCCTGCCTTTTAAGCTGGTTTCAGAAGCAATACAACACTTCAGAGTTGCAGCTTAAGAAGGCCTGAGATGCTTTCCTATTATTCTGAGGCACACATTGCAAGTCTATGTGGAGACTTGTTGATGGTTCACTCCTGGGAGAAACTAAATCCTCAAAGTTCAACCCAACAACTAGGCAGTCATGAAGTGTCCTGCTTTATGCAGTGTAAAGATTTCTGGTGCCAAGGAGGACATTCAAAGTAAAGACAGAGGAAAATGCTGTCTTCTGAGGCATACCAGAATGTCTGAGGGGTTGGTACCCCCAAAGCTGGGAGGTACCTTCTCGCTCTTCTTTGTTTGGCTGAGGGACTATGGCATTTCCCCAGGTTCAGATCATGGTTGGTTCTCCTGTTAAGGCAGAACAGTAGGGGTTCACCTTAGCATCCAATCTCAGGAACTCCTCTTGTCTTGGGGATCCAGACCTTCTGAACACAAGGTAAGGGTTTGGAGTCAAGCAGGAGAAACAGATCCTCCACACATCTCCCCAAACATCTGGAGACTAACATCTTAGATTGAAACTAGGAGCCTGAGACTCTAAGTCTTCTGGAGTGTTTTGAGTTGCAGGCAGGTTTGGGAGCCCAGGCACTGATGTCAGGGATGAAGGCTCAAAAGGGGGTGTAATTCTACCTCTTTGTTCCTCCATCTGGGGAATTGACACTGGAAATGAACTTCGTCTCTAATCTTATTCTTGCCCCTTACAGATAACTTGCTGGGGATAGCCTATGAACTTACCTGTACCACTGAACACCAGGGGTGGGAGGAGAATGGATTGGGCCAGAGAAAACAAACACGAAAGCCATCCCAGGGGGAAGAAGGTGCTTCCCCAGGGGTTCATGTCTGCTCCATTCTTTTAATTTTAGCATCTTCCATCTTTTCTACTAGTCTGAGACTTTCGGAGAATGACGACTTGGTCTGATTTATTAACGTGCCCTCAGGGTACAGCACAAAACTTGGGTCAGACCAGGCATGGCTGAATGAATGAACACAAAAGGCTAGATTGTAGGGAGAGAGGTCCACAGAGGATGGAGAGTGGTGGGGGAGGGGATGTGAGGGATCAGGATGACTTGGGAGGGTCTCTGCCAAGTGTGGAAGGTTGAGGTTACATTCTAAAAGAGCATGAGAGGTACTTGGGAGGACTTTTAATCCCTCTTTCTCTGTGTCCCCTTTGCGCTTAGCTGCCTTCTTCAGGGTTGGGGAAGTTGGGGAAGTTCTCAATGAATGGGCTTCGATAATATATGGTCCATTTTCTCACAACTCCATGCCAGACCTGGCTGCTCTCTTCCCAGGTGTTCTACCCTATCTTGGAAGTATACAGAGAGCCTGGAACACAGCCTAGTCAGCTTCTTCATGCCAGTATAACTATCTGAAGGGCATTGGCTTGACATCGGGAGGCCTTGCCAAGATTGGAGTGGAGGCAAATCTTGAGGGCTATAAAAGTTTCCTGGGGAACACTCTCAGGCACAGGCGTCATCGCATTCTTCCAGTCATTGCATTCCTCCGGAGCTTGGCACCTCTGCTGTGGTTGGATTCACACCTCAACCTGAGAACCTGAAGGGCAGGATGTGGATTTATTTGTTTCCCCAGTGTGAGAAAAGATGAGGAAGTTGAGATTCAAAAGGGGTAAGGTGTCCACTTAAGGACACATATTGGTTCTAGGGACTCCTGTATTTTAATCCAGAACACAGTGAATCAAAAAAGCAAACAGACAAACCGATGCCCATTCAGAAAACCCAACAGACAAACAAAAAAGCCAAGGAACTGAAAATTGATCCTAGCACATAGTGAGGATGGCATGGGAAAGAAAGGAGGAGAGTGGGTGAAGGCCTGAGGTGGAGAAGGGCCCGTGGTGGGGAAGGACCCACCAGCATTAGTTGGTTTCCAGTTACAATCTGCAGGTGTGGCATCATCTATTTATTCTCCTATTCAGATCTCAGAACGTATCCCTTTGAGGCAGGGCATGTCCTGTTTCCAGGGGTCTCTGAGGAGCACAAGAAATACTTTGAGCTGACTATTTAATCCATATGCGTGCATGTGTGTTTGTGGTGTTTATGTCGTGTGTGTGTGTGTGTGTGTGTGTGCAGAGAGAGAGAGAGAGAGAGAGAGAGAGAGAGAGAGAGAGAGAGAATTTTTCCAACCCAATCTCTGGCTCTTCTTATTGAGAGCTCTCGCTTATTCTATTCAGCCAACATTGATCTTGGGCCTTTGCTGTGCTGTTTGATAAGCTGTTCTGTGTTTTGCTGTTGATAATGTGGGAGTCATTATGTTCAGATTGCTGAGTTAGATGAGTTTCAGTAGGATAAACTATAAGGATGGAGGAAGCAACTGGGCAGATGTGTGTCAGATGTGAAATCTCTGTAGTGGGATGCTTGGTGGAAAATACTCTGACACACTTGTTTCCTTTTTCTCCTTCCTTCCCAAATCCATCTGGTCACTGGTTTCTCCCAATTCTCCCCACCAAGCAAAGATGTCTGAACAACTCCATGAAAGCAGATGCAGAGGGACAGGGACCAGGGTGAAAGACAAACAGGAGGGAAAGTCAGGATTGCTCCGGAGATGGTGCTTCTTTGGTTTGCTCTTCCTGGAAAGCGCTCCTGCTCTTTGGCACTATTTAAGATTTTAAAAAATGGTTTTAATTGGAATAAAACTATACATCTAACCCCCTTCTTTTATTCAGAAACTCCCAGATACCCTCCCCAAATCCTTCCCATGTTCCCCCTCAAATTGAGAGCTTCTTTTAAAAAATTATTGTTACATATCTCTGTGTGTGCATGTGTGTTCTCAATTATACGTATGTATATATCTCCCTAGGTCTGTTTTTATTATTGTTTATATGGTTTCAAGACTAATCACTTTGCCTTGGAAAACCAATAAATAATTCAGCCCTGGGAGAGGTTCATTCTCAGTCTCTCAAGAGTTATTAGTTTCCTGTAGTTCTTTGTCTAGGGGTTGGACCCTGTGAAAATTTCTCCCTTCCACATTAGCATGATTATTTATATTGTCACTGTTCTGGTCTCGAATATGCATCTATTTCTAGGAGAGATTGTTTCACAAAAGATCTCCTGGTATTCTGTCTCTTATTTAAAATCTTAACAGTGGCTTGGACTCATACATACTGAGCCCTAATAGTCTTTACATGTAGTAGGAAGAGTACCTAAAGAGTCAGGATGACTGACACTAGACACACAAGGACATCAAGGGATAACCCAGAAAGAGAGCTACGAAGGTAATCCCCACAAGACTTGCCAGAGTGGCCTCAGAGAGCACCACAGACTCATAGGAAGGGTTCCTGGCAGGGCCATTCAGTTCAGGGACTGAGTGATCTTGTTAAGAATCTGGACAGTCCAAAAAAACTGAACTGAAAAGAAGTTAAGGTATCATACTGGAGATACCTGAGCTCTTGTGTTGGGACCTAGCATGTTGGGAAAGAGGAGTACCTGTCTTCTACCCTTAGTTGTTGGTGTTTCTAAACATTCACCTGTGTCCTGTAAGCAGATGAATGTGTGTGTGTATGTGTGTGTGTGTGTGTGTGTGTGTGTGTGAAAACCAGATACTGGGTGTCTCCTATGGTTCTCCACCTTACTAGTTCATTTTTTTTGAGAAGATTAAAAAGCTCACTTTATTTTGTTTTATGTATATGGGTACTTTTTTTCTGCTGTATAGCTCCTGAGTATCACATATGTGTCTGGTGCTCATAGAGGCCAGAAAAGGGTGTTAGGGACCCTGGAACTGTAGTTGTAGATGGTTGTGAGCCACCATGTGGATGCTGGGAACTGAACCTAGACCCTCTGGAAGAGCAGGCAGTATTTTTAACTGCTGATCCACTCTCTAGCCTCTTAGAAAAGATTTTTAAGAATTAAAAATTATATAAGTGTGTGTATGTGTGTGCTTACATGCATGTGTGTGTAGTGTGGGGATGTGTACATGTGAGTGCAAATGCTGTCAGAGTCCAGAAGAGGGTGTCAAATTCCCAGGAATTAGATTACAGGAGGTTATAGGCAGACCCCTGTGGGTGCTGGGAGTTGAGTTTTTCACAGAGCAGTATAGCTCTTAACTGCTGATCAGTATCTCACTTTTTAAAATTGGTTATTTTGTTTATTTACATTTCAAATGTTATCCCCCCTCCCAGTTTCCAACCCTAAAAAACCTCCACTTCACCCCCCTCTCCCTGCTCCCCACCCACCACCAACCCCCCCCCCCCCCCCCCCCTAGGCCCCCCACCCCAACCCCCCCCCATGCTGGTGCACCGAGCCTTCACAGGATCCAGGGCTTCCTTTCCCACTGGTGCCAGACAAGGCCATCCCCTACCACATATACAGCTGGAGCCATGGGTCCCTCTATGTGTATTCTTTGGTTGGTGGTTTAGTCCCTGGGAGCTCTGGGGGAGTCTGGTTGATTGATATTGTTGTTCCTCCCATGGGGTTGCAAACCCATTCAGCTCCTTGAGTCCTTCTCCCAACTCCTCCACTGGGGACCCTGTGCTCAGTCTGTATCTCACTTTTTAAGTCTCAGAGTATCTCACTTTTTAAGAGAAGGTCTCTTACTAAACCTGGAGCTCTCCATTTTGGAAGCACTGGCAGGTCAGCAAGCCACTCTGTCCATCTTTCAATCTCACTCTCGGGTTACAGATGCTAACCACCATGTCTGGCTTTTAAATAGGGGGCTGGGTTCAAACTCAGGTCTTCATGCCTGGGAAGGAAGTGCTTCTCCCTACTGAGCCATCTCCCAAACAGATCAATTGTGTCCTCAAGCAGTCCCGAAGAGCACTGCAGCTACCATAGACTGGTGAAGCAGGGAGCTTGTTCCCTGGACACTGGCCAACTGACCTTTAAGACCATTAGGGAATGTCCTGAACGGATTTCTTGACAGGAAGGAAGCTCAGTCACGATTCCTGGTCAGCTCTATCATGTGAGATAGTTCTGTTGGCCTTTGAATGCACTGTTCCCACTTATGAAGAGGTCATGGTTCAACTAAGCTTCATTGACACCTCATTCTGATCTGATTCCTGAAGTGTAACCCACTCAGACTATTGGAGAGCAAGTCTCTCCCATTGCTCACTGCTGCAGGAGTTAACACTGGTGCAAATGACGGGATGGGGGCGGGTTGCATAGGAGCTGGGTGCAGTGACTTATCTCTGTGTCCTATTTTCCTGTTTCCTTCCTTTGTGAGAAAACAATCTGTCCAAGATCTGATAGTGGTGTCCCAGTTTAGGGCATCTGAGGATAAATCTAAGGCATTTGTTGTAGAACTCAGAGAAGTTTGCCAGCAACCACATGACCCATAGAAGTGCAATGAATGTCTCAGCAGTCATTTTGAGGGATTGCAGCTGTAAAAGTGAGTCCAGATGCTGCGAGCTATCCTCACTCTTATGGGCTTCTCGGGACAATCGGGGCTCATAGAAGAAGACTGTCTCTAGGGAGGCCGTGACAATCTGTGACTGAGGCCTTGGCTCATGCCTGTGGTTTGGATGCTGCAGAAGGGTACAGGAATGCTGCCTGGAGTTAGGAAAGATAGGGAACAGAATGTAAGAAACCCCAAGTTGGGTAGATAATCAATTCAAGAGTATCCAATTAAGAGTATTTAATCAAATTAAGTAATTAATTAAGAGTAATTGCTCCAATTAAGAGTATCAGAGTTCTTTAATTTGGGGTGGCAACCAAAGTAAGTTAATGCCTCAGAGCTTCTTGGTGCCAAAATTCAGGGGTACAGTATTTCTAAAGACAAAAACCACAATTACAGCAATGCTAGATAAGGGTCAGAGTAACCTTGTAACATTGTTTAGTTATTTAGACATAACAATGATTTTGGTTAATACATCTGGATCATGGTCGGAGTCACAGACATGCGTTGCCAAGACATACATGGCTATTGGGAGGGTAGAGTGTTGAGAATTCTCTAAGTGGACACAAAATGAAGTCAGAGCAAGATGGTGTTACCTCAGTCGCCCCAAGTGCAGAGAGAAAAGAAGGGAGGCAGGGCAGAAGGGAGAAATCCGGGGATGCCAGCCAGAAAGGAGGAAGGCACCACGAGTGTTCCTTTTATCTATAGGTAAAGATGGTTTTTGTCAGTTTTGCTCCTTGCCATTGCACGAACAAGGCAACCTTTTGGGTTGAATTCAGGATTCAGAAAGTTTATTCTGCAGGGAGACTACAGCAAACTCTGAAGAACATGGGCCAGAACTGCAGAGAAGGCACACTTGGTAGCAGGATAATCTCCAGGGTCTTGGAGGGGAGTGGCTTGGGTGTGACAAAGATTCCTGGATTTAGAGCAGCAGCTCTGGGACTAGAGAGGGTATTAGAAATATACAGGAAAAGGGGTACAGGAGGATGGAAGGAGGTTCTGGGGGTCTGCCTGATCAGCATCCTTCCTTCTCTGCCCAGAGACCTGGGGTCTGCTGGGAATACTGGGTTCCTATGTGGTCTTTGTCTTCTGTTATTGTTTCAGATCCAGAAGTTAGGGGGCCTGGACAAGGTGGTATCCTGGACCCAACAGTTCCCCTATGCCCACCCACTCTGGCTTGGACAATTCATTGGTTTCCTGAACATCTATGAGCCTGACTATGCTAAAGCTGTATACAGCCGTGGGGGTAAGGTGCCCTGGAGAGAGGATGGGGTTTCCTGAGAATAATGGCCCCAGGGATCAAATTGGGAGAGATCAGGGCTTGTGTCTAAACTCTGGGAAAAGAATGACTACATCCCTACCTAATTCATCACTATGCCTCATTTGAGAATGCCCTATTTCTCTTGACTGATATCCCCTTGTCCTGCAGACCCGAAGGCTGCAGATGTGTATGACTTTTTCCTCCAGTGGATTGGTAAGTGAGCATCTATCATTCTGTGCCCTCTCCTCCTTCCCTTGTGCTAAGTGACCAGAATTCTGCCCTGTCACACTGGTCATCCCTCCATTGGACTGCCTGTTCTAAGTTTAGTGTCTCTGTGGGGAGGTGGGGGAGCAATAAAAAAGCTTCTGTCAGGGGATGTCCTTGTGGGACATTCAGCCTTCCTCCCAAGCAGAGGCAAGGCAATGTGTGCTTGAAGCTTCCTAGAGGACCCAACTTTAGAGTTGACCCTGTAGAATATTATAATGGTGGTGCTTTCCAGAAGAAGGGTCTGAGAAAAGGTCTGATATTAGTAGGACCGTGGAGGCTGCAAGCTGTCTGAGGGGTTAGAATAGAATGCAGACTTCTATTAGTAGATGAGGCTGGGCAGGGAAGATGGGCCAAGTTTGGCTGTTACTATGTGGATTGATGTTAAGAATAGTGGGAGCCAGAACCTTGAAATGCCCAAGATGCAACTCACAGGCCACATGAAGCTCATAAAGAAGGAAGACCAAGTGGGGGTGATACGGTCCTTCTTAGAAGGAGCAACAAAATACTCAAGGGAGCAAATATGGAGACAAAGTGAGGGACAGAAACTGAAGGAGGGGCCGTCTGAAGACCATTCCACCTGAGTATCCATCCCATGTGCAGTCACCAAAGGTAGATGCTGATGTGGAAGCCAGGAAGTGCATGCTGATAAGAGCCTGATATAGATGTCTCCCCAGAGGTGTGCAAGAGTCTGACGTATTCAGAGGCAGATGCTCACAACTAGCCATTGAACTGATAATGGGGTTCTCAATGAAGGAGTTAGAGTGAAGACTGAAGGAGCTTGTGGCCTCATGAGGAGAGCAACAATACCAACCAACCAGAGCCCCCAGGGTCTAAACCACCAGCCTGGGAGCACTTAGGGAGGGACCCATGGCTTCAGCTGAATATGTAAGAGTGGAGGGCCCTGCTGGGCATAGGTGGAAGAAGAGATCCTTGACCTCATGAAGGCTGGATGCCCCAGGGGGTGGGAATTTTGAGGGTGGGGAAGTGGGAGTGGGGGGGTAGATAGAGGTTACATCCACAGAGAAGAAGGAGGAGGGGTGAGGGGATAGGGGGTTCCTAGGTGGGTGGGGGATGGGGTAAGGGGACAACATATGAAATGTAAATAAAACATCCAATAAAAAAATTAAAAAAAAAAGAATAGTGGGAGCCATTGAGTTATCTTCTTTTAATTGATTGATTCATTAATTAATTTTGAAACGGGGTCTCACTATATTGCCTTAGCTGGCCTATGTAGAACAGACTGGCTTTGAACTCACAGAGATCCCCCTGCTTCTGACTCCTGAGTGAGTGCTGGGATTAATGGTGTGCAAACACCATACTTGGCCATATTCTTTTTAAACTTTTATTTATTTGTATGTTTGCTTCTGTGGATGTATGCCACTTATGCAAGGTACCTGTGGAGCCAGCTGGATCCTCTAGAAATGGACTTAAATGTGGTTGGAGATACCGTGTATGTGCTGAGAACTGAACCAGGTCTTCTGTACAAGCACTAAAAACTCTTGACATGTCTCTCTAGAGCCCACTATGTCTTCGTGACCCAAGGTCATATGTGTCTCCAAAGTTCCTTTAAAAAACAAACCAAAACCAAAACCAAAACCCTTGGCAATTTCCTAGGAGCTAAGAAAAGGCTGGATGCTAGGAAAGTAACAATCCTAGACTATTGACTTAGTTAAGTTCTGCTGCCTTCTCCATGTTCGAAGGCCCTAGCAGCATGGGATGGGGACCAGAGTCTCTGCTGGGTCTTGTCATGCCTGTCCCCCATCCATGGAGTGTTCCAGGCTTGGGAGTATCAGAAGCTGTGATTGATCTCAGCTCTCAGGGGTAGAGTAGGATTGCCTGGACTCTACAGCCTCCATCTCCCCTCCCTTCTCAGGGAAAGGCCTACTGGTTCTGGAAGGGCCAAAATGGTTCCAGCACCGCAAGCTGCTCACACCTGGCTTCCATTATGATGTGCTGAAGCCCTATGTGGCCATATTTGCTGAGTCCACACGTGTGATGCTGGTGAGTTCCTAGAGCTGTGGGCTGCCGGACCAACCTCAACCCCGTCCCCATCCCCATCTGCCCTGGGTGAAGGTAAGTGGTGCTCTCCTGGGGTAAGAGTCCCTGAGGCCCTGTCCTCGTTATCCCTACAGCAGTGATGCCAAAGGGCTGCTTTGCCTCCCTCTCCCTGCTGTATGCTGTGGAGGCATCCAAGCATTGAGGCAGCTTGCGGCTTGTCTCTGCCAGGAGATCTGGCTCTTTCTGGTGACAGCAGTTGGTTCTGGGAAACCATCAAAAGTCCCCTACTGGAGAGTTTGAAGCTTGCCTATGTTTCAGATATCATAAAAATACTTTACATTCCCAAGTTCATTGACATTTTCACACCTGTTTAGATCCTCCTCACTGGGAGCGATGTCAGGTTTCAGGGGCTTGGAGCCAGAAGAGTTGGGCAATATTCCCTCTGTTTTTATTTTGTGGAATAACTTGAGGAGCACTGGTATTTATTAACTCTCCTTCGAAAGTCTGGTAGAATTCTGCACTAAAAACGTCAGGCTCTGGGATTTTTTTGGTTTGGTTGGTAGACTTTTAGTGACTGCTTCTATTTCACTAGGGGTTGTAGGTTTATTTAAATTTATTTGATCTTGATTTTAACTTTGGCAAATGGTATGTACCAAGAAAATTATCCATGTCTTTTAGATTTTCCAGTCTGGTGGATTACAGGTTTTATAGTATGTCCTCACGATTCTCTGGATTTCCTTGGTGTCTGTTGTTATGCCCCCTTCATCTCTAATATTGTTCATTTAATTCTCTCTTTGCCTTTATTTAACTTGGTTAAGGCAACTTTTCAACCTGTGAGCTACCATGCTTTTGGGAGTCGGACAATCCTTTCACAGAGGTTGTGTATCAGATATTTACATTACAATTCATAATGTTAGAAAAATCACAGTTATGAAGTAGCAGTGAAATAATTTTATGGTTGGGGTCACCAAAACATGAAGAACTGTATTAAAGGGTTGAAGCATTAGGAAAATTGAGAACCACTGCAGTAAAGGCTTGTCAGCCTTACTGATTTTCTCAAAGAACCAATTCTGTTTCATTAATTCTTGCTGTTTTTTGTTTATTTGTTTCTATTTTGTTGATTTCAGTCATGAGTTTATTTCTTGCCTTTTATTGCTTTTGAGTGTAATTCTTTGTTTCATCCTAGAACTTTCATGTGTGCTGTTAAGTTATAGTATGAATTTTTCATTCTGCACTTAGTGCTATGACCTTGCCTCTTAGAACTGCCTTCATTTTGTCCAATAAGTTCAGGTATATCCTGTATTCATTTTCCTTCCACTCTAGATTTTTCAATTCATTTCTAGAATTCATTCAAGACTCTAATTTCTGTATTGGCTCACTTTTCACTCAGCAGTGTGTGGTCTAGTTTCTATGAAAGTTTGTAAACTTTCTGTTCTTGATATCCAGCTTTAGCCTGCGGTGGTCAGAGACTTGCTTGTGTGAGTATATGGTCAATTTGGTGAATGTTTCATGAGGTGCTGCGAAGAAATATGGTGTTTTTTTTTTTTTTTGATGTGTGTATGTTTGGGTGAAATGTTCTGGAAACATGTGCTAGGTCCATTTGACTTATAACTCCAGTTAGCATTTCTCTGTTTAGTTTTTGTCTGGATGTCTGTCTATTAGTGAAAGTGTAGTATTGAAGTCTCCAACTATTGATGTATGAGTGCCAATACATGATTTAAGCTGTATTGTTGCATTTACAAGCTTATGTGCCCTTGTTTTTGAAATGTCCTCACAGTGGATTTTTTCTCTGATGAGTATGTAGTGTGCTGTGATAACTCTTTTGATTAGTTTTGCACCAAAGTCTGTTTTGTCAGATATTGAAAACTAGCTTGTTTCTTGGATTCATTTTCTTAGAACATCTGTTTTCATCCTTTTACCTTGAGGTAATGTCTATCAATGTTGAGGTGTGTTTATTGAATGCAACAGAAAGATGACTTCTGTTTTCAAATGCATTCTGCTAATCTGTGTCTTTTTTTATTGGACAATCAAGCCCATTAATTTTGGGAGATATGAATGAACAGTGTTTGTTGATACCTGCTATTTTGTTGTTGTTGTTGGTGGTGGTGTGAGTGTGTGTGTGCGTTTTTCACCCCCCCTTAGATTTTTTTTGGTCTGGGATTATTTATTCCTTGTGTTTTTTTTTCTGGGTGTAATTAACCTCTTTAGATTGGAGTTTCCCTCCCATGGGGCTGTGTTTGTAAATAGATATTGCTTAAATTTGTTTTTTTATCATGAAATCTTATTTTCTCTTATTTTCTTTCTTATTTTCTTTATCTAGTATGAGTGAAAGTTTTGCTGGGTATAGTAGTCTGGTATGGCATCTGTGCTCTCTTGGAGTTTGTAAAACATCTATCCAAGTTCTTTTGGCTTTTAGAGTCTTCACTGAGATGTCCAGTGTTATTCTAATAGGTATGCCTTTATATATTACTTAGTCTTTTCCATTCGTTAATAGCTGTTAGTATTTTTTGTTCTGTACATATAGTATTTTCATTGTGTGCCAAGGGAATTTCTTTTCTGGTCAGTCCACTTGGTCTCTGTATGCTTTTTGTACCTTCTTCATAAGGTTTGGGAATTTTTCTTCTATAATTTTGTTGAAAATATTTTCTGTGCCTTTGACCTGGATTTCTTCTCCATTTTCTATTCCTATTACCATTAGATTTGGTCTTTTCATAGTGGTCTTTCCAGGTTTCCTGGATATTTCGTGCCAGGAGTTTTTTAAATGTAACTTTTTTCTTTTGGTCTGAGAAATTGAAAATGTCTTCAATTTTGTGTCAAATGACTAAGATTTCTTCTTCCATCTCTTGTATTCTGTTGGTGAGTCTTGCCTCTGAGGTTCCTGTTGGATTTTCAGATTTTCCATGGTTTGGGTTTTCTTTATTTATTCTACTTTTACTTACAGGGCATGGACAGTTCTGTTTGTTTTCTTCCATTGTTAATTTGTGCTTTCATAAATTTCTTTAAGGGAATTATTCATTTCCTCTTTAAGGCTACTTTAAGGTCATTGTCTTGTACTTCAGCTAGGTTGCAATTCTCAGGAGCTACTGTGGTAAGGTAGCTGGGCCTTAGTTGGGACATGTCCTGATTGTTATTGATTTTTTTTTTCTGGCATCCAGGCATCTTAGTTTGGGAAGATTGTAATTCTAGGTGATGATACCTGGTCTTGTCTTTGTTGTATGGGTGTTTTGGTCCTTAGTTTCTTTTGCCCTCTCTGGTTCTTAAGAGGGTGTGGTGCCTGTGTGTTGCCTAGTAGGGACTTTTTCTCAATCTTGATAGGTATTTCCATAGGGGACAGGTTCCTGGTAAAACATGTATTGGGAGCTGACACTTAGAGAAAGAGATGGGCTAGGAGAAGTGAGAGGGTCCAGAGGTCGAAGAATATCAGTGTATTCTACCAAGATATGATTAGTCCCTTGAGAACTGGGGCTGAGAGTGAGGAGAGACCACAGCAGGGATTCTGTTACACATCTGGGGATAAGATTTGGGGACTGGATTTGAAGGAGAGGAGGGAGAAGGAAGTATTTGTACTTAACCTAACTGCTTCCCTGGCCAGGCAGCCCAACTCCTTCCCACATTACCTCCTCTCTCTTTCTGGATTCCAGGACAAGTGGGAGAAAAAGGCTAGTGAAAATAAGAGTTTTGACATCTTCTGTGATGTAGGCCACATGGCACTGGACACCCTCATGAAGTGCACCTTTGGCAAAGGAGACAGCGGCCTAGGCCACAGGTCAGAAGCACCTCTACCTAAGGCTCTCAGATAAGGAAGGTGGAAGGGCTCCTGGTCTCTGCTTGGAGAAGAGATGGGTCCTATCTTGATTTGTCCAGAGCCTACTCATGGTAGGAGACACTTTTGTTAGTGAGGAGGCTTAAGGTGGCAAGAAGAGGAGCAGGAAGTACTGTTGGTTGATAGGGATTCTTAAAAGAAAGCTGCTCAGTCCTCTGTTCCTCCTTCCACTCTCTTCTGTATAGCGACAACAGCTATTACCTGGCAGTCAGTGACCTCACACTGCTGATGCAGCAGCGCATCGACTCCTTCCAGTACCATAATGACTTCATTTACTGGCTCACACCACATGGTCGCCGCTTCCTGCGGGCCTGCCAGATAGCCCATGATCATACAGGTAGGCCTTTCCCTCAAGCCTTTCCCCACCCCTCCACACCAGCTAAGAAGTCTTGGTTCTTCTTCTGGGATCCTCTGAACCCTTCTTGATGCAGGGCCAGAATAGGCAGTGACACTTGTGATCTTGGTCCAGATCAGGTCATCAGGCAACGGAAGGCAGCCCTGCAGGATGAGAAAGAGCAGAAAAAAATTAAGCAGCGGAGGCACCTGGACTTCCTGGACATTCTCCTGGGTGCCCGGGTGAGTGCACATAGCCCACCCTGTCTGACATCCGGCCCCAGGGAGGTCTTTAGGCTCTCTCCTTGAAACAGGGTCCTTGCCCAGAAAGTATAATGTATACTTATCCATGGCACACATCAACAAAGGTAAAATGTGCAGCATGTGGGTGGCTGGGCTGTGACATCAGGGAACTGGCAGTCTGGGTCACATGGTAGCAGCTTGAAGACATTTCTAAGATCTCTAAAAATCTTGGCATTGCAGAATCTTGGAGTTTAGATTTTATTCTCTTCCCTCCTTCCCTTCCTTCCTTCCTTCCTTCCTTCCTTCCTTCCTTCCTTCCTTCCTTTCTTCCTCTATCTTTCTCTTCTACCTCTCCCTCCCTTCCCCTATCTTTTCCTTCCTCCCCATTTCCTCTCTCTTTCCTGTCCTTCGTTACTTCTTTTTTTGATTCCACAAAACTCAGTGCCTATCCTGAGTCAATTCCTGTGCTATGTTGCAGAGTTAAGAAAGACCTGATATAGCCATCCATCTGTATACAGTATGCCTTTGGGAAGGCAGTAGGTGATGTTGACAAGGATGTTTTCCATTGCCAGTTGGAAGCAATGTCCCTAATGAGCATTATTGGGATTAAATAAAGTCACAAGTTATGTATCCAGAGGGCTCAGGGAGGGTTTCATGAATGGGAAGCATCTAGGCTAGATTTAGAAGAAACAGGAATTTGGAGGAAGACTCCTAGTCTACCAAGAAGCTTTCTTATGTCCTCAGATTTGCATCCAACAGCTACTGTTGGGCATTTTTCTCATCTCTAACTCAAAGGCCATAATATGTCTCATTGTGCCTTCTCTCAGGATGAAAGTGGGATCCAGCTGTCAGATGCAGACCTCCGGGCTGAAGTGGACACATTCATGTTTGAAGGCCATGACACCACCACTAGTGGTATCTCTTGGTTTCTTTACTGCATGGCCCTTTATCCTGAGCACCAGCAGCGATGTAGGGAGGAGGTCCGTGAGATCCTAGGAGACCAGGACTCCTTCCAGTGGTGAGTGATCTGAGTGTGAGCTTGGCCCATCTTGCTCAGCCCAGGCATGGGTTGTCCTGCCAAGGATAACACACAGCTGTTTCAGAGGTGAGATGATGTTGGCAGCAGTTGTTTCTTGTTGTTGTATGTAGCTTTCTTTGGGGTTAACTACAGATGTACCCCCCTGCCCCAGTTCATTCTCCCCAAATGGAGGTTTTTCAGTGTCACATAAAGGTGTCAACAGAAGCTGGATTTCATAATGACAGAATATGAATCCCCCCACTGGGTTTCTGGATAGAGTAGAGAAGGCTGAGAAAGAGGGGGAAACAGGAGACAAAGGTGAGAAGACAGCTGCGAAAGCTAGTCCCTTGCTACCTGCCACCTGCCTCCTCCCACCTGCCACTTGCCACCTGCTTCCTGCCTCTGGATGGCAGCACATAGCCCCCAGACTCCACATTTCCTTCATGGTGAAGGAGACTAATTTCTAAATGCCAATACTTAAAAACTTCTATGTGGTTCCCCTTCTATGTTTCTCAGCTCAAGCTTGAAGTCCTGAATGTGACACCAGCAGAGACAACTTTTCTTTCAGAGTAGTCTGGGAGTTGCACCCAGACTTCTCTTGCTGCTTCCTCTTTGTAGGCCTTTGTAGCCTGACAGTCACTGCCTCCCACTGAGTTCCTGATGTGCCTCCAGCACTGGACAGGACACATAGTAGGAATACAGAAATTGGTCTGTCAGCATCAGGAGTTTCTGTTCTCCTAAGGAGGACTGATCTGTAATTCCAGTGTCAGAGATGTGAAGGATGGAATCTCCATAACTGAGGTTTATTTATTGGATGTTAGAAACCTCCCAAGGGGTCCAGCCATGAGCAAAGTGCTATCTGGAGCACGTTGCAAGGAGGAAGAGGAAAGGAGGAGCCAGTTTGCTGCTCTTGGGGAGTTTTCAGAAAGTCAGACACACATGCTTGAAATCCCGAGAAGGCTGTAGGATAGCGTAACTTCTCATGGTCTGGATGTCGAGGGTAGAGGGGTGAGAAGGGAAGGGGCTTGAATTGACTTTAAGGAAGATTAAACCTCAGGTGAAAAGAACTGTGCATTCTAAGCTAGATAATCATGTAGATAGTCTGAGGCAAAGATTAAATGCATATTTTATTTTCACTTAGTTTTATCCAGAATCCAAAGCAACATCAAGGATGTTTATTTAATAAAATAGTACAAGAAATGACAAGTCATAATTATGAGGAGAGTGACTTGGAGTTTGAGGCTCTCTAAGAAGATATTATATAGTTCCGATGGTTGGATCTTGAATTTGGGTCTGAGCTTCCTGGTAGCCAAAGGATATTTATATGAATTTATCTTTATTCACCCATGGAAATTGGTTTGTTCATTCAACTAAAAATTATCAGGCTACCTTTTTCCATTCCAGGCCTGCAGGGAAGCCAAACAGAAACTAAAGAAATGTCCCTTGTGCTACTTTAGTAAGGCCCTGTATGACACAAAAGTGACCATGCCTTTGAGGGTTGGGTGCACAAATGTCTCTAGGATCTTGTGCCTTCTCCTTCCAGATTGCTAGGTCTTCATGACCACCCAGTATTACATTATGCTTAGGCCCTTGGAGCCCCTGAGACTCCTCTGTTGGAAGTATGGTGGTGACAGGAAGCAAAAGCGATACTGTGGTAAGGTTGGTGATGGAGCCTACCCTCTCCTGGGACCTCATTGCTTCCAGTTCCCAAGTGTCTTGTGTTGCTGGTAGGGATGATCTGGCCAAGATGACCTACCTGACAATGTGTATCAAGGAGTGCTTCCGCCTCTACCCACCTGTACCCCAGGTGTACCGCCAGCTCAGCAAGCCGGTCAACTTTGTGGATGGCCGTTCTCTACCTGCAGGTATGTTGGTGGAGACAGTGAGAGTGGAATGAAAGTCCTCTGAATGCTCTTTGGTATTGCCTGTACCACTGGACCATCTTTACACTATTCGGAGAGAGTTCAGGCTTTGTGTGCAGAGCCCTGGACCCAAGCACTAGGCTCACAGAGTATCGGTAAACTTGCCTCTGTCCCCAAACCTCCAACTCCCTCTTCTGTAAAGAGAATATAAAGTTCATTTTTCTTCTAGGTTTCAGGGTGGTTATATGGATTCACTTTTCTGTGGGTTGAAATAACAAGTCTCTCTCTCTCTCTCTCTCTCTCTCTCTCTCTCTCT